TAAATAAATCTCATATCTCAAAATTAGATAAACTACCCCCACAATTCTTTGATAGTTGTGGTTAATTTGACGTCATTGTTAAATCGATCACGTTTTTTATTTTTATTTTAAGAAGTAGTAAACAACTAAGATAGATCTTATATATCTCTTCTTAGGCCTTCATGCCTCACTAGCCATTATGGGAAAAACACTTTTGGCAATTGTTGCCTTTAGCCTCTAAACTTAGCGAGATTTAATAGTTAGGACTTCACTCTTTAACTAAAGACAACCACAACTTTCTTTGTAGCATATGTGCACTATCAATATGATTATTTTGTAGTGCAATAATCATGTCTCATCCCAAATATATACATATATGTATATATATGTGTCGCACGTTACATACTATTGTAATGCATGATATCTCAAGGCATGTAATATTAGTATATACCATATATACGATATATCGAGCCTTCAGTCTTTCTGTATCAACGCACATTGGCACATAACCATTCGTACACTTTCCAAGGGAAAAGAAACCTCCTTTCATGAAAAGGTATTTCACCTGTCTCAGATTTTCTTATCACCTATACATCATATGCCAAGAGGCAAGAGATATCCATTTAATATATCAAATGCAACCAACTCATGTTCCTTCATAATACTTGCATACATGTCCATACCAGTTGAAAGTCACGGCTTCATTCAAATCTAGCACCAACACTCACTAGGCATTTTATTATAATCCACCAATATTTTCTTAGGAAATATTGGGCACAACCAAACATCGAATTGCTCTGCATTTGTCCATGAATATATATGGGAAAAATCACTCTCAGGCTATCGTCAGTCTCAACTAATTGGTTGGAGCAGAGACCATCTAATAGATTTCCAGTTGAAACTTATCATGATTTACACCCCAACTTTATTTCTCTTCAAATAGAGTTGTAACTTCAGATAGCAGAATCTAAAAGGAAACCTATATTAAAACTGCTATACACGATGCTTTTATTACAATGATGGAAGTCATGATGCATTTCCAACGCTTAGCAAAGAGGGCAACACTTTCCCTTCATTCATTTGTTGGGTTTGATAAAAGGATGACATTTCCAGAGATACGGCAGACCACAAAACAGACCAAGCATTTAAAGACTCATGCATGTGTGTATGTAGTAAATAGATTCTCTCATTCTCAGGTCTTTCATTTGTCAGTTCCCTACAATACCCAAGACCCCAATTGTGTCTTTTGGTCAAACGATGTAACCCTTACTAAGGTTGCATTAGTTTCAAAAGACATTTTCAAACTTCCAGTTGGTCAACCATAGCCAACCAAGAATCTAATACTTGTCCATACTTTTAAAGGAAATTAAAGAAAAACTGCAAACTTAAAAGCTAACAAGTGTAAGAGAAATTTTCAAGTATATGGATAGATTGTGATCGAACAAAACTTCATAAGAATGTATATATTCAACGCATATATAATCGGCACATTTGCATTTAACAATTCGAAAGGACACGAACAAATGAATGCAATGTACCACTTGGACATGCATCAATCTTTCTGAAATACACCAGTTCATCATTTTGAAAACCGTAAATTCATAGTTATGAATATAATGAGTTGATGATAAACAAGAAAAAAAACTATTCTTACTTTTCAAACTGAAAAACTCAATGCATGCATGCATAACTAACAATTTATATAGCGTAATTATTATTGCTGTAAACAAAACATCATAACTTAAATTCAGGAGACTGTTTGGAATCAAAGCCACTGCCTCATGAAACATTACTTATCAGACCATTAATTCTACCATAAAAATTAATCTATAAGCAAAATATGATAGAAATATTCTGAAAGAAATATCATGCCATTAGAATGAACCTTACCTTGTCACAGGAGCATATTATTCTTAAACAAACATAGCAATTAAATGTAAACTTGTCTTAAGATTGTTGGAAAAATTAGGATCTAATTGCTATACTAAATCACATAGAAAATCAAGAAATAATTCATACAATTATATATCAAAGTAATACATGCATATGAGTAACCAATGTTAAGTGAACATGACATAATGGATTAGAAAAATATGAAAATAAGGTTGAGGCAAGTGTAGGACACTTTGTCCTTAAGACAAGTTTACGCCTCACTACAGTGCTCATGGTTGATCGGTGCATGTCTCCCAAGATACAACGACCACGTCCTTGTAATAGTAGCACTCCAAATCACAAGGCTTCATGATCCACGATTCTGTTCAAAACTCTCTCTTATGAACTCAATGATACTCTTTAATATTTAATGCACTATATGTGAGTTCAATGATACTCTGAAGTTAAGCGACAATATAGTGAGGGCATGGTCGGGGCCCAAAGCGGACAATATCGTGCTACGGTGGAGACAGGAATATACATATAAGGCTTATAGGATCCACTTCCCTGAACGTTGTCGGATGTTACAAAGTATTTTTAGAGTGGCTGAAACTGTTTTTCGTGAACATATTTTTTAAACAAATCCTTAATTACAATATAATTGAATCCTAAAGAAGCACTTAAGTTAAGTGCTTCTTGTAAAAACCACATAACTATTACTTATTGTAAAAAATACTTCGAGTTCTTTTGAAATCTAAAATTATTTTCTTTAAATATTTTCAGTCATTTTAAAAACTCTTTTAAACGAATTATAAGTACTTGTAAATACTGAAGAAAGTTGGTTTTTGGTTTTTTTCTTTTCACATTGAGATTGTGCATTGGAAGCACGCACGCGTAGAAGCAAGAGTAACTTATTTCTTCACTCCATGAGAATTAAGGTTTTAAGCAATAGTGTCGAAATCATGTCGACATATTTTGGACAAAACTGTACATGTACTACAGTACTGTTTTTTTAATGTGGGGCCAACAAATTCAAAGTCGTCTTTACTTCTCCTAGAATATTCCGGCGCGAAATGCAAAATGCCAACGCTAACCGTATTTTCAATGCATGTAGATCCTTTATAGAATGGAACCCTATTTCAATAGAAAATGCTAATGAGATTATATTTAGATTATTTTTTATTTTATTTTTATAAATGACATGATACGGTAGTTGATGGTTAAGCTTATTTTTTAATGATTGAGTAAGGAATTCAACTATCAACTACCGTATCATATACGAAGGATGGTTTGTTCTCGCTAGCATCAATCTGTTTCAGTTGGCACTATAGTACTATACACCACAATGTCACGTAGATAACGTTTGAAACATGCTATAATAGTTGTACTGAACAGTCTGAACTCTACGATGAATGGACTATTTTGATATGCTTTGTGTGATTTAATCCAAATTATTAATTTTGAATATAAATAATATTGTGTTGATATAATAGCACTAAAAAGCTATGTCAGTTGCCACTCAATAATATGGTCTGTTGATATTTCTCTTTACTTGGAAGTGAGATGTCTTAGGTTCAAATTGATACCCAATTAGGCTTACATGGCGAATTTGATATCCAATTAGGCTACCAATTGTGTGGCTTAGCCGAACTCTCTCTCCCCGTGTAAAAATATCGATGTACTAAAAAAAAATAGAAAAAAAAGAGAAAGAATTGAACGTATCATAGCATTCCTGAAATGATATAAATGTTGGCATTTTCATAGCGTTTGGGAATAGGCTGTAAATAGCATTTTATTGATGGGATAAACAATTATTTAGTTGCAAACTAATTTTGATAAAAAATTTGCTAGTTAATCAACTTTACTTAGCCTTAAGCCCTTATCCTAATGGAGTGAACTATCAATACATTTTCCTCAACCAGTCAAGCTAAAATGTTACTTGGAGATCGAGGAAAGTTCCCACAGAAAAAGGTTGGTTCAAGATAACCAATTGAATTATTAAACTCATGATCTAAATTCTTACCCTTTCCACTCACCAAGAGACATATTTATGTTTAAGAAGAAGATTGACACAACGTTTATGTCGACATGATTCGTGCTTCAAAAGTAATCCACACCAAGCTCGAATTTCAGATAAACTGATAATATTAAGAATTAGGTTAAGGGACTGTGAATGGATGAGACATACGGGTCGGATTTTTCAATTTCCTGAGATTAGCCACAAAGAATATAATGGTTTAAACCCTTGGAATAATTCCAATGTCCCACAACCACAAGAGACTAAGAATTGTTAAATATATATGAATACACACACACACACACCTAATTTTATTGGGATCATATAGCTAATAGTTTTGTTTTATCATAATCCAATTGAAAATATTTAAAATATAAAACCCCAACTCATATATATATATATATATATATATATATATATATATATATATCTCACTACCTACTTCACTCTCACCCCTTCCCACCAATTGCTTTACTAAATAGCACCCACTTTACAATATTGTTACATTGAGTTATGTGATACGAAAAATGAAAATAACGAACTTGTTTGAATAAAACATTAATGATTGAGACTCAGTTTATCTTAATTTGTAGAAATTCGCTTAAACAAATGAAGATTTGTTATCAGTGATATTTTGGAATTGAAATTATCCGGTTTAGTAACCCAATCTCATCATGTCAAGTCATCAAACTTTGAGCATACATGACTTATTAAGGAATGAGGGACAGAGCCATATATGGGCCTGGTAATATGATTCCCGGCTTCAAACACATTTGTTCTACTCTTTCATAAACACACTACACACACACACACACACACACACACACACATTTATAATAGCTTGGAGACTGGAGAGATTTGATGCAATCTAAATATTGGTTGTTTGTTTACAACTACACAGCATCAGACATTTACAAGTGCGTATTCTTTTTGTGTTTACTTATTCTTAAAATTGTGCTAACGTGACTTACAATCCAACGTATAAAATAATAATAATTTTATAAAACGATATATTACATTAAAAAGTAAAAATTGTAAACCAAACCTGTAATGTATTAAGTACACTAATTTAACATGGAACGCGTCATCTCTAGTTCAAACCTCAATAAATGACTTGGACCCACACATATGAAATATTAGTGAGATGACCCTTGGCATCTTTCTAATACTTATCCATCTCGATTGAATTATCCTTTTGCCAAAATCCCACGTTCCAAACACGAAGCAAGAGGAGCAGTTAACAAAAGACACCCATTCAATCACGTGCCAGTCTCGTGGGCGACAACCCCCTACCCCACCATAACCATCCTTAACCACAAGGCGGTCACTAGTCTCGGCGGTCTACACCCTCCGCGTCACACACTCGAATAAACCACCCTAGGTGCCACTGGATATGCCGCCACCTGTACCACTCCCTCTCGGATATCCTCTCTCGCTCCCCCTAACAGTAAGTTACCCACCACTTTAAAACCGAATATCCCATTTTTATTCCTTCCATACGCTTCCCATTTTGCCACGCCTATAAATTCGTCTCACCTGTTCCGTTTCTCCTAAACTCCCCTACTCATAATTTTCGAAAGCAAGTTAATCATTTAACTGTTTAATCACTAATGGCTGGTTTTGTTAGAACCAGATCGAAGAGGGTCACTTACCCGCTCGACGATCGGGTGAAAGCGCGACTAGTCGGCGGATACAGCTCCGGACTCAGTGATGTCAGCAGCGGAAGCGAGCACTCCGGCGACTACAACTCCCCCTGCCTCTCCGAGCTCGTCCACCGCTTCCTCCAAGACGACGAGTCGTCCGCCGCTGGTTTTCCCGACAACGAGTCCGACTCGGACCGAGTTGACTCGGCCTCAGACGCGGACGCGATCGACTCCGTCCTTAGGTCCGTGGCCGTTTCCGGAAATGCGGACTCGTACCTGAAGCTGCTCCGTTCTCACGTTTCCCAGGCGGAGGAGGCATTCGCGTGTTTGAGATCCAACGGCGGCGGCAGCAGCAAGTCGACTCTGGGGCGGAGCGTGATGTCGTTTCTGAGGGGATTGGGACACAATGCGGCGATCTGCAAGACGAAATGGACCTCCTCCGGCAACATCACCTCCGGGAGCTACGAGTTCATCGACGTCGTTCCTGTCCAATCGGGCTCCTCCATGAGGCAGAGCCGGTACTTCGTGGACCTCGACTTCGCCGCCCAGTTCGAAATCGCTCGGCCGTCGAGCCAGTACTCGCGGCTGCTGCAACTTGTGCCCAGAAACTTCGTTGGCAGCTCGGAGGACCTGAAGCGTATCGTTCGGGTCACGTGCGACGCGGCAAAGAGATCGTTGAAGAGCACAGATCTCTCCGTGCCTCCGTGGCGGAAGAACCGTTATATGCAGAACAAGTGGTTCGGTCCGTACAAACGGACCGTCAATCCATTGACGGAGAGAACCTTCTCGACAGACTCGGCCATTTTTGCTCCGGTATCTGGCGCCAAATGCCGCTATGTTGGGTTTGACGACACGGTTTCCGACTCCACCGTGAACGGCCGGCTCTATGTCCGTACTTAACTAGACGATTTTGGAATAATTAGATCAAATTATCGGGTTAATAAATTAAATTATATATAATGAGATTTTATTTTACTTTTGTTTTGCATTGTAAAACGCGGCAAATGGACGAACTGTACTTGACGGCGCACCTAGGATGTACATCAAACTTCGTAAATTCAAACAAATCTAGACGGTTGGTTTTCCATGTTTATAATTTGTCATTAAATCCAACGGTTGTGAGATAAGGACACACCGTAAGTAGTGGAGGTTTGAGGGGGTGATTATTTTGGCTGGAATTTTATCCAGAAAGGATAATTGATGTGATGAGGATGACAGGTGGCACCCTCTGGTGAAGTCGTTTTCGCGAGAGGTGATGGTGACGGCCTGCGGGTGAGTATAACATTTGGAGATTGTTGGGACAGTTGGCCTGAAATGCAATTACAAGCGTGGAGTGGTGCAGCAAATTTACGTGAATCATGAGTGACGATTAAAATTTTGAAAGGACACAACAAAGACAGATCAGATCAACTTATAAAAAAGAATGAATTAACTTTTAGGGTAAATTACATAATAACCTTCAGGTTTAAGATCTATTACAAATCCTATACAACATCTTTAAAACATTTCACTTTCATAACTTACCTAATATTTTATTTCAATATAATGCCTCTGTTACATTTTTCATTCATTGATCTGTTAAGAGCTGACGTGGTAAAAAAATAATTTTTTATTTTTTTTAAAAAATAAACCTGAATCTTCTCAAAAAAAAAAAAAAAAACTAAAATACACAAAATCGAACGCTCCACCCCACAAGAATCCCAGCATCTTCCTTTTATTCCCCACAACCCCAAAACCCCTCAACCCAAACCCTAATTCCTCCCCCTACATGAAGAAAATCCCAGTCCAATTCAATCCCAATTACCTCAAATCCCACTAGAGAAACCCCAAATTCTGGTTCCTCAATCCCTAGATTTTCCACGTCTCCGTTGCCCACACCTTATCAATCTTTAGCCTTCTCCCCCATCCCCTCAATGAATGACACTCTCTCTCCTCCGTTGTCCCCCAACGACGGCGCCAATACCTACGAGACCTGGTACGGCAACATCCAGTACCTTCTCAACATCTCCGCCATCGACTTCTTCTTCTGCGTCTTTTTCTTCATCTTCATCAAGCTCCGAAGCGACCGCCGCCGCATGCCCAGCCCGTCCGCCAAGCTCCTCGCGGTGTGGCACGCTACCTGTCGAGAGATTGTGCGCCACTACAGCGCTGACGTCGCCCAATCTCTCTTGATTAAGGGTGGAAGTTGCGGGTTGCTGTTGTCCGTGGCAGTTGGGAGGCTCAGCTCGGGAGGGAGAAGAAGGGTGGGGAGGAGTTGCGGGGAAGGTGGGGTGGGTTTGTGTTTTTCGGAGTACCCACGATGAACCGAATCTCAATCTGCTTAATGAGTACTCACGCACCCATCTACACACCCACACCATCGACAACACACCATCACCACATTGGACTCTCTCTCACTCTCCCTCGTCTCTGCGGAGCTAAGTGAAGCCCAGTAACCGAGAACTAGCTCCGGCGAACCTTGTGAGTTTCGAGCCAGATCCCAGCTAACTCCGCCCATCCCACGACCAATCTAAGGTACAAAGCCTTTCCCCTTGACTCTACGCTCTTTTTCGTATGTAGATCGTAGGGAAAAGATGTATGGAAAAGCTGACAGAATGAGAGAGAAGAGTGACCTGAGAGAGTGAGAAAGTCCACAGTGGTGGTGGTGTGTCGTCGGTTGTGTTGGTGCATAGATGAGTGCGTGCGTGGGTGTACTGTCGGGGAGAGAGTCCGAGAGAGAGCTAGAGAGTGAAAAAGTGAAAGAGAAGAGTGACCTGAGAGAGTGAGAGACTCGGGAAAGGATTTCTGGGTTTGGGTTTTTTTTATTTTTTATAATAGGGTTAATATTATAACATTTTTAATGCATAAAAAATTATTTTTTGCCATATAGCAGCCACATCAGCACAAATGTGACAGTCACGTCAGTATTTAACTGATCAATGAATGGAAAATCTAACGGAAGTATTATTTTGAAATAAAATAGTAGGTGAGGTATGAAAGTGAAATGTTTTAAAGATGTTGTATGGGGTTGTAATTGTCACATCCTGGCCCGAGGTCCACCACATCTCGGGCTGACTCCACCACCGTAGCAAAATATTGTTTGCTTTGGGCCCCGACCATGCCCTCACGGTTTTGTTTCTGGAAACTCACACGAGAATTTTCCAGTGGGTCACCCATCATGAGATTGCGTTCACGCGCTACTTGCTTAACTTAAGAGTTTCCATGGAATCCGAAACCAGTGAGGTCCTAAAAGACATCGTGCTAGGTAGGGATGAAAATATACATATAAGGATCACTCCCTTGGACGATGTGAGATGTCACAATCCACCTCCCTTAGGGGCCCGACATCCTTGTCGGCACACCATGGCCATGATTAAGCTCTGATACCAAATTGTCACATCCTGGCCCGGGGTCCACCACATCCCGGGCCGACTTCACCACCGTAACATGATATTGTCCGTTTTGGGCCCAACCACGCCCTCACGATTTTGTTTCTGGGAACTCACACGAGAACTTCCCAGTAGGTCACCCATCGTGGTATTGCTCTCGCGCGCTACTCGCTTAACTTCGGAGTTCCCATGGAACCCGAAGCCATTGAGCTCCCAAAAGGCCTCATGCTAGGTAGGGATGAGAATATACATATAAGGATCACTCCCCTGAGTGATGTGGGATGTTACAATAATAGACCTCAAACTTGAAGAGGTATTATGTAATTTACCCTAACTTCTATTCTGATGTTTTTATTTAATTATGCTTGCTGTATAAATTAATAATGCATTATTATGCAGAGAAAAAGTTGAGTATTATAATTAATTTATTATTAAACAGAAACGTTCAAGTAATGGTGAAAACATTTTGTCTAAAACAAGGTTCTAAAAAACGTTAGGCACTAGTCGGACGGCAGGTTGGCGCCTAGCGCATAGGCGGCTAGGCGGGGTCTAGGCCGGCGCCTAGGTGGATATGAGTAAATTTCTTGTATATCTTGTAAATAAGTACATATGAGCACTTACAAAAAATTATATTTGTATGAAATTCATGGATAAGATAATAAAAGAATGATAAAGTGCAAAAAGAAGTATCCAACAAGTATAAAATTTAAAAACACATTAAACATATATGCCATATAACCATAGTGACGAGTTTTGTAGGAACCACATAAAATGCAAAATAAGAGGAAAATAAAGAAATAGATTAATGTAAGATACTTAACTGTTAAAAGCCCATGTAAACATTATTTAGTGTGCAATTAATTTTGTAACAATGCAAATTGCTTTGGTACAAATCTGTTAAAAGACCTTTACAAATTTCAAAACCAAAAAGCCCACCCAAAAAGGCTGACCAAGTGTAAAAAAAGCGTGCAAATTACAAATTGCTTTTATATCCAATTAAATTAACACAAAATCCAAAAAAAGCTTGCTAAGTTATTCACTTCACACAGGTCTTCCATGCAATCCTAGGCCTGCACCTAGTACTGGTAGCAACAGTGAAATACAATAAAAAAATTTAGGATAAAGTACAAAAAATTACCTCAATTATTGGTGTCACGACACTTTCATACCTCATTTTTTAAAATTGACAATGTCATACCTTATCTTTAGAATTTTGTCCAATATTATACCTTTCGTTACTTAGCCATTTACTTTTCAGTTAAATGTTGATGTGACTTGATTCGGGGCCCACTTTTTATTAAAAAAATCATTACAATATTATTAAAAACTAAACAAAAAATTATTTAATATTTTTTAAATATTAAAATAATAAAAACGTAAAAGTAAAAAATAAAAAAAATAAAAACAACCCTCGTTCGTCCCTCCCCCTTCCCCCCTCCTTTGTCTTCTCCCCATCTTCATCTTCTTTCCCCTACCTGCAACCCCCAATAAAAATAAAAAAAATTCCAATTTTTCTTCTCCCCGCACCCACCCTCAGTTTGTATTTCCCCCTCCCCATCCCTCTTCTCCCTTTTGCAACCCAAAAAAAAAAAACCCAGATCCCGTCGGCAGGAAGATGAATGCGCGAAAAAGGTGGAGGATGGGTGCAAAAGGGGATGTGGAGAATAGATGAGAGTAGTGGATTTAGGGTTGGTAAGGGGTTGGGTCTTTTTTTGGGGGGTGGGGGGGGGGGACGAACTGGGTTGGGTTGGGTTTTTTTTTTTTTTTTCCTTCTTCTTCTTTTTGGGTTGCAGGGGGTTGGGGTGGTGGGTTTCAATTTTTTTTTTTTTTTTTGGTTGAAGATTAAGAAGAGAAGAAGATGAAGATGGGGAGAGAGAGAGAGGGTTGGGAAGGGACGAACAAAGGGTTGGGTTGGAATTTTTTTTTTTTTTTTTTTTTTACTTTTCTTTATTATTTTAAAAATATTAAATAATTTTTTTTTAGTTTTTAATAATATTTAATTAATTTTTTAATAGAAAGTGGGTCGTGAATCAAGCCACTTCAGCATTTAACTGAAAAGTAAACGGCCAAGTAACGGAAGGTATAACATTGGACCAAATTCTAAAAATGAAGTATGACATTGTCAATTTTAAAAGATGAGATATGAAAGTGTTGTGATACCAATAGTTGAGGTAGTTTTTTGTACTTTATCCAAGAATTTAAAAATAAGTAAAAGGAAAAGATGGTGGGGACCATCTAAATGATAAAACGGTGCAATTAAACAAACCAAATAACTTCATCTTCTTCCTCGCGACGCCGGGCTCTGCAACAAAGAAAAATTTCAGATTCCGGCGTTCTCCACATATGCCTACCTAGACCCCGTCCACCTCTGCCCAGCCCCGCCTAAACCCACCTAGTCCCACCTAATCCCGCCCAGTCGTCCGCCTAATATGCTTTCTGATTTTGTGAACGATTATGACTTAATCGCGGTGGTCACCGGCCGTTCAGTGCCTAGGTGCCTCCTAGGCGGCCACTTAGACTGATTTTTAGAACATTGGTCTAAAATGCTCAAGTCGAGACAACTTTTTGATAAGATTTTTAATTTTTAATTGATTTTTGGAAAGGTAATAGATAAGGCAAACTCTTTCTCACTCCTATGTGGGACTTATGAAGTCGGTGAAACCATTGACATACATCCAAGTTGCAAACTGAATGAGTCAATCTCCATCCAAACAAGAAG